GGGGGGGGGGGGGGGGGGGCGAACTCCCAGCCGCACGAACTCAAAGCCCTAAGGCGTTAAGGCGTGCCTGGATAGCGTAGTGGACACCTGCCTGCGCCACCGACAGGAAGGGATCCTGCAGCAGGCTCGGGGTGGTGACGGGGATTCCAGGACCCTCAGGGCCGGAAATATCACAGCACGAACTCGCTGAATCAGGAGTCCCCAAAAGCAGGTCCCAAAGTAATCCCCGAATCTGCCTCAACTGCCTGGGACTCCGGACGCTACAAGGTGCTAGGGCCGCTGGCGTTCACAGTTTAGGGTTTGGAAGAGGTGGGTTGAAGATGAAACCTTGTCTCTTCGGGGCTCCAACTGGGTAAAGAAAGCGGCGGGACATGAAGCTGCAGGGGCACTGACCCTAACAGCTGTACATCTTGAGCCTGAAAACCCAAGCCCTCTGCCTTGCTGGTTAAGAAACACCGCAGCTCTCCGTCAACCATTCTGCGCCCTTCAAGGCCTCTTCGTCGAAGTCGCGATGCGCCTCCTTGGTTTCAGGAAAAGTCTGTGGTCCTCGTGTAGGCTCTTGGGTTCAAGTCCCTGGCTCTGGGTTGACTTCAAGGGCGGCCGAGCAGAGGGAGGTGAAAAATCTTGGGCATCTGCGGGTCGTGTTCCGCATCGGGCAGGCATTTCTGGATCGGAGGATCGAGACCCCGCCGCGTCGGACTCGTCACATTCGTGTGAGCCCGGAGGAGGTCGAAAAGGCTCTCGCAACATGATCGCTCAAGCTACGAAATTCCACTACTGGAGGTCACAAAGTTCTCCCTCAACGCCTCGCTGGCTCCGAGGCCACTGCAGAGTTCACCTCCTCGAAGATGGCATCAATATCTGGGTCTAGAGTTCTCAGTTTAGATTGCAAATAAATGGGATGTCGTACCCTTCGCAGACTGTGGGACGTTGAGACTTCCACTGGCTTCCGTGCGGCATGCGCGGAAGCAGGTCTGAAACACAATTGAAGCTTTCGGGTGGGTCCCAGTCTAGTGGGACTACAGCATATATAATATGGGATCGCATTGGCCGGAACCCTCCTCCGCAAATAGTCGAGGTACACCTACAGGGGCAAGGGATCGCATGCATTTAAGTGACTTCTACAACAGATCGTATGGCGTGTGCCGAGACCTTACAGTATTGGGACGGCCTAGATTGAAGCCAGTATCTTCAGGAATACGAGCGCTTACAAATGTCTCAGCAAATCCGCAACATAGATTTGCCAGCGCCTAGACACTGACTGCATAACGATGACACCAGACAAGCAGAGGAGCTTCTACAAGCAAACAAAGCCCAACCTTGATTGAGTTGGACATGAGTCTCTAAATCAATGAGGCACTGATGAAGATTCCTGCAGATGCTAGCACTTCATCCTTGGGAGCAGTGATTTGCAGGACTACAACCGCCCGAATGCCCCAGTAGACTGGATTTGCGAGGTCTCAGCAGCCAGTGAGCTGTGATGGTTGCATTGGCATGATTCCGTGCATATAAAGTGAACATTCAGGGCTCTCAGCAGTGTTGAAACGATATTACACTGGAGCTCATCGGAAAGTTGCAGGATTCTGCAGGCCACGATGTTGCAGCAAACTCAGGGGCACGGGATACGTAAGAAATCTAGACGACTGTGGGTATCGATTGCGAGGATGAGGCTCGTAGGTAACCATCACTTTTAGGGTTCAGGTGCAACTTGCACTCTGGTACGGATCCACACGTGGGCTATTCCAAGACCGTCTCTGCTACACATTATACTTGCCATCGGGCTGCAAATCACGCAGGATTCGCGGGTTGCTTGAGTGGCCGTTTCGCGCCATTTGGCAAAGCCTGCAATACATTGCCGAGATTTCGTGCTGCTTTTCCTGATCATTTCATAATTTGTCTTCTTCTTAGCCTTCTTCTTTATAATTCCTGTACAGGTGTCTCTAGCAGGTAAGAATCCACCCACGCCAACCCTGAACCCTCAACCTCAAGCCAAAACTCGAAACCCCAACTAAACCCAAAACCCTGAGCCCTGAGTCTAAACTTGATAATTCGATGCCAGGGCCCGGGCTTCTCTCGTAACGCTCTTTGCGGTCCTGTCGTTGGGCTTGTTGCTGAGGTTGATGGTTTAGGGTTTGGGGTGCAGAACCTCGCCAGGTTACTTGGCTCCCTTGGGTTATAATGTAAGTAATGTTGCTTCTGGGGCTTCCTCTGACGGCTTCTGCGGGAATCCCTGTAGCTGCAAGTACCGCCATTCCCCAGTGGCCCGCCGCAAGTTGTCGAACCAATAACATTGACATGACCGTGTTCACGCATTTTGCTTTCAATTGTGTCACGGAAACTACCATTCGTGCTGTTCATCTTGATGCTTGGCAGCGTTGATGCCATTTCATCCTGCACATGCAGCGAATAACCCAATCCCACAGCCTGTATATCAAATCCTGAAGCGAATCCTTCGCCAGCAGCCCTGATGACTCGCCCGTGCGGCAGGCGACGAACCTCGAGAGGTTCGAATGAGTATTTTGGGAGCTACTGTCTGCATTCAGGCTGCATTACACATGCTGGGGCTTTGTGACCGGTGTCTGGGATTCCGTCAGCAGCGTTTTGGGATGCTGGCCCCGTACTTCATTGCCAGTGACAGCCAGTGCATTCGGCCAAGATAGCCATCAAACTTTCCATGTTCAGCTTTGCTACTTTGAAGCACTATCCAATCCAGCTGCTGCTCTTTGTGGTTTGCGGCGTGGTAGCCGGTAGCCTCGACTGCATGCATCCCAAGTCGTCCCAGATCCGTTAGCCCGAAACTACACAATCCTCTGAAACCGAGAACCTCAACCTCGACCATCAATCTTCTCAAACAGCCACCGGCTTGGAACGCGTAAGTGCTGGCAGAGGGCCTCCTCGTGTGGACGATCACTCCAATCTGAAAAAGTACTGAGCAGGGCTTTACAACGACCACAATCTTTTTAACCCCAATGGCCCAAGGCGCAGAGTCACCTCGAAGTGCCACTCGAAAGAACCAGCCACCGCCGAGCAAAACCCGAAACACTCTGAGACTGAGTACGTCGCTGGATGACGGAAGCCAAGCCTGCAAAGTCACGCGCAATCATTGAATTAAAGTGCCCGCGTCATCATGGATATTGTAAGCCCTGATGTGAGGAATTGTTCAAGAATTTTCTCAACTGTGTAGTAAGTAGTAAGTAGTATGTAGTAAGTAGTAAGTAGTAAGTAGTAAGTAGTAAGTAGTAAGCAGTAAGCAGTAAGTAGAGTAGTAGTAGTAGTAGTAGTAGTAGCAGTAGTAGCAGTAGCAGTAGCAGTAGTAGTAGCAGTAGCAGCAGCAGCAGCAGCAGCAGCAGCAGCAGCAGGAGTAGGAGTAGGTGTAGGAGTAGGAGTCGTCGCAGCAGTAGTAGCAGTAGTAGTACTAGTAGTAGCAGCAGCAGCAGCAGCAGCAGTGGCAGTCGTAGTAGTAGTAGCAGTAGGAGTAGCAGTAGTTGTAGTAGCAGTGGTGGTGGTAGTAGTAGCATCAGCAGGAGCAGTAATAGCAGTAGTGACACTAACTACTACTTAAATATTGTTCTTAGTGTTATTTGCTACATTTCCTAGTCCTCCTCCTCCTGCTACTGATACTACTACTACTAGTACTGCTTACTACTTACTACTTACTACTTACTACTTACTACTTACTACTTACTACATACTACTTACTACATACTACTTACTACTGCTACTACTACTACTGCTGCTACTACTACTACTACTGCTACTACTACTGCTACTACTACTACTACTACCACTACCACTACTACTACTACTACTACTACTACTACGTCGCGGGAGCAAGCTGATGGTGATGATGGTGATGACGATGGTGATGGTGATTGCTGTGATGACGCTGATGATGATGCTGATGATGATGATGATGATGATGATGATGATGATGTTTTTGACTCAGTAGTAGACCATGGACATCATTATGTTTTGGGCATGACTGCTCTGTTCCCAAATCGCTCTAGACCATGGATGGATGCTCTGTTCCCAAATCGCAGGAGACCATGGACGTCAATAGGCTTTGGGCATGGACGCTTTGTTTTTAAATCGCCCAAATCGCACTACTCACTAGGCCATGGACATCATTAGTTTTTGGGCATGAATGCTCGGTTCCCTAATCGCACTAGACCATGGACGTCATCAGGTTTTCTGCATGGATGCTCTGCTCCCAAATCGCAGGAGACCATGGACGTCGTTAGGCTTTGGGCATAGATGCTCTGTTCCCAAATTGCACTAGGCCATGGACATCAGTAATGAAGCTTTGTTCCCAAAGGCTGTTGATGAACATCCAGACCACCAAAACTAGACACAAAACGTTTCATTCTGATTGCTAGATTTTCGACACGAAAATCCAGATCGCACAAAACAGCCTAACACTAAGAAAGAAGATCTGAAAAACGCGTGCTGCAAATACCACCGTTTTTTGCTGCAAAAAGGAAGTCAACGTTCAAAAAGAAGCAAAACTGAGCGAAAGCCCACGCACTTTCCGAAATTCATGAGCGACAGAAAAAGCTGTACAAAGCTGCATTTCTGACAACTCGAAGTCTGAGAAATTGTAGGTCTTGGCATCGCACCGCGGGGGTGAACCCTACTACTACTTCTACTACCACCACCACCACCACCACCACGACTACTACTACTACTACTACTACTACTGCCTACTCCTACTACTTACTCTTTACTACTTATTACTTACTACTTAC